CAATCAAATACATTTTTACGGGGTGGTCACAAGAGACAAGGCATTCTCTAATAACCCACAATTATATCATGATAAAAAGCAGACTTTTTATCATCAATATGAGGATTTTCTAAAATCTGGTTTAAAACAGAAGAAATGAATCATAGTGGCACATTGACAGCTCAGACTTTGATGTCTCTTAACCCAATCACGCCGGGTGTCCCATATCTGAGACACCCGAAAAAAATAAACACTCCGTGCGTCCTGCCAGTGTGACACTGTGTCAGGGTCGCGCTCCGGCTCAGCAGCGGACCACAGCCGGGGAAGCTCCGCCCGGATTTTTTTTATTTTGGCTACAAAATGTACCCGGCGTGAGTGGGTTAAGGGGGCCATCGTACTCAAGAACAAAATCCGTTAATTAAGATTGGATTTTCGCGATTTATTAATAGGTTATATATACACATACTACAATTTACAGTTTCATGTCATTTGGATAAAACAATGAAATTATTTTAAAAACTAGATTTTGACAAAAAAAAAAAAAAAAAAAAAAAAAAAAAAAAAAAAAAAATATATATATATATATATATATATTATATATATATATATATATATATATATATTATATATATATATATAAACTTGCCATTGACTGACCTAGTTAAAAAAATCCAACATAATCTCTATAGCAATACCCAGATCTTATGCGAATGGATTTCAAAATTTCCACTTAGTTTAGTAGGAATATATTTCTTTAAATGCTCATTGTTATGAATATAAAGTATAATATATGGACTTCTATCATCTGAAATGAAAATCCCCTGGCATAAAAAATCGCAAATTTATTCAGTTTTCAAATGATCCAAACCCCATTAGAATCGCCTGGGTAGTTATGGAGATACATAAGAAAATGTTGACAAAGGTGTAGTTTTGAGATATTGGGCTTTGAAGTTGAGGATACTTTTCCCTGCCCCCTTTTGTTTCTTTTTCTTTTTTTTTCTCTTTATTTATTTATTTATTTTTTTTTTATTATTTTTTTTTTTTTGAGAATTCTGATCTCTGCGTCAATCTTGATGCCTTTTTGAGAATTCTCATCACTGCGTCAATCTTGAAGCATTCTATGGCATTCACATGGTATTGTGAACTGTAGCTGGTACCTGGTCCCCTCCCTTTTGCAAGGTACTAATAGCAATGAGTGGACATGACTGTAGAAGTACCACATGTCACCATAGGCTTCGCAATGCCTCAGGAGGCATTTTATACGAATAGACAACTGCTGCAGCTGTGATTGAGATGTATTTCTCAACATATATGTATATATGTTTATTAGTTACAGGAATAACATTTATCATTAGTAGTGTCCTATTACTGAGTGATGAGGGCGCATCACGGATGGTGCCGCGCTGAGGCACGGGACGCGCAACCTCTCACTCTGGCTCTCTCGTGATGACTTCCCGCCTTGTCTTTTTGTCATGGCTGAGCCGTGGGCAGAATTGCCAGCAAGCTACCAGAGAATACCAGTATAAATCGAAAAAAATCCCCCAAAACAAACATGCTGAGTATATTTGCATGGAAGCAACAAAGTAAACATCGGAGCTGGAGATGGGGCAGGGTGGAGGGGTCAGAGATTTAGTCATAACTCTATTTTTACGCATTTAGCAGAAATATTACGTCACGGGATTGCCAAAGCATAATAGATTACCAGTTTTTTTTTTTCAATTCTTCGAGTATTTTTATAAATATTTGTCGAAAATCCATTGCCACATCTCCCTTAAACCACCTACACCAGGATTTGTGCACATCTAGCTACTTAATTCGTTAATTCTACCACTGGGAGGGAGGTCTGTGCCCAATTTGTTATGATATGATTAGACATTACCCAAGGTGAGTGGGGTAAAGATGGAGGAAAGTAACTGGGGTCATTTCCTTATATAGTAATGTCTGCTTTACTGTCTCCAAAATCAACAAAAACCTCCTAAGTACCTAGTACTCACTTCTGAATTTACCTATGCTTTAACTATGATTAATGAGATGGAGAGAGAGTTTATATTCAATTTGATTATTGTTACCTACAGCATTATTATTTCCATCTTCCACTCTTCAAATTTTCCAGTGGAACCAATATTTTAGGATAAAATGAAATAACAAAAGCAAATTCAAAATGATCTTTCTTAATACCTGACAAGCATTTGGGATAGGCAGGATCATGGAAATAGACTAAAATTTCAATACAGAATGAATGTAAGGGGGTATATTGTGTAGTAGAGGTACTGCATATTTACTTCCTGTCTACATAGGGGTTTCCCCTCCCCTATGATATTTTTAGCTCTTATAGTTAAGAAAAATAATAAGAAAAACCCAACCAATATAACAATAATCTCACCTGAGTTTATTATCAGATTCTTCCGATATGGCAATGAGAGCAGCATCAATACTGTCTGCATTAGCAGTCCACGACAGATCCAGTTCTACTAGTGAATGTTGCCACTTGCGCACCACCAGCTCCAGGCGGTCAGAGTAATACTTGGGAGACGTGGATCCAGCTAAAAACAGGTGCTCTAAATCCCATGGTGGAATGCGGACTAAAGAGGAGTCTGTTATGTTGATGCACCTGGAGCAGATACAAAACTTTAGTTTAATGCCAATTTCTGTACAAAATATCAAAATACAAACATCTAAATGTTAGGAAATATATAAAAATCTTTATATAATGTCAAATCACAAAATCAATTCAAACCATTATGTAAAACAGCAAAATTAAGTTTATAGATACTAACTTGTAAAACACAAAAATCATAAAGTATCAAGTAAAATAAAGAACTCAACACAAAGCGTCAATTAAGATAAATCATAAAATCAAATAAATTATGAAAACTCACCCTCTCACATCCAGCAGACGAAGCTTATGGGAGTTCTTTAGAATCCGCTCAAGTTCACTGTCGTTCATTCCAACGCTCAAGTTTCCATCAACAGCCAAACTCAACTCCTCAAGCTCAGGAAACCCTGGTGATGATGCCTGGACAAAATAAAGCACATCAGACATTAAACAGGTTGTACATTTACAGATACTTATGCATGTACATACCATCAAAATCAAAAGAACAAAACACGTGAACACTTCCCACCATCAAACAATACTTACTTGCACTGACATGGATGTCTGTGAGAGTCTGGTGTTAGAATTGGTAAGTCTTAGAGTTCTCAGCTTTGTGCATCCTTTCTGTAGCAGCTCTATGTTGATCCTAACACAGTCACGGCCAATGGTCAACACATTTGACAGGTCCAGTATTTGGAGATTTTGGCAGTGATCCTATGAGAAAAAAAAGAAAGAAAAAAAAAAAAAAAAAATCAGGGGCACAGACATAGGAAATAGGTTTTGGTAGATAATTTAAGACAGCCAACAATTCCATACACTCTCTGGGAGATCCAGATTGGGTCGTATTACTTTCAGATGCCTTGGACCTTAAAGTGGTATATATATCCTGAACTATTTTCTATCTTGCTATACTATTTTCTCAATGCTCATAAAGAGAATAAAAATATAAAACTCACTTAGTATCTACTAAGCAAAAAGAAAGATTTGTTTTTTAATCAAATTTTCTGTAAATCTATTCATTATCTATACACAAGAAAAAGAAAAAGAAAAATATATATGCACAAATGGCCAATAAAATCAAAGAAAGGTTTCAAGCACTCACCGCTAAGGCACCTCCACACGAGTCCTGGCACATTCGACAGAGTGTTGTTTGCCAGTGTCAGATGCGTCAATCTAGTGTTCATGGTCAATGCCATGTCTGATAAGGTCTGCTGACCCACAGCACATCGGGGAGTAGGTTTATGGGACTGATGGGGAAAATAGAGGATGAGAATTAATTATCAAATGTCTTATGACAGCTGCTTCAATAAGCAAATAATGGAGGTGTTTGTTTTAGTTCAAATAAATCAATAATACAAAATTAAATAAATAAATAAATAAATAAATAAATAAATAAAAAAAGAGAACTGATCAATAACTACTTCGTATTGTGCTTCATTGAATAAGACAGAAGAGAAAGAGGAGAGAAGAAAGACAACCCAGAAGAAAAGGAAATACAAAAGAAAAAAGAAAAAAGAAGAAAAAAATTGATAAAAAATAAAAAAAGGAGAAAAAGAGAAAAAGAGGTAAGAATAATTCAAAATTGGTAAAAATAAGATTAAAGTAAAAGAAGAAAAAAAAAATAAACAGTAGCAGTAGAAGAAGAAGAGAAGAAAAAGAAGAGAAGATGAAGGAAGAAGAAGAGCAGAAGAGAAAAGAAGAGAAAGAAGAAAAGAAGAAGAAAAGAAGAAAGAAAGAAAACAACGTGTACTCACTGCCATGACATTGGTGAGATCGAGGCGCTCCAGCTTTTTGCATAAGGAGAGGTGTGTATGGAGGTTCTCAGAATGGATCTTGTGGCAGTAAGATAAGTTGAGGCTAGTCAGTTCTGGACACAACTCTACTAGCCTTGGCAGGATAGGTGGCGTCACGGCGTCGTTCCACCAGCAGGCGATCGAGCCCTCGGGGAGGGGGAATTATTTATTTACTTACGTCGCCTATCGATCTATCATACATATCATATCGATCTATCGATATCGACACACACACTACACACCTACGATCTATACTACCTACACACACTACACACACAACACAACAACACACACACACACACACACACCACACACACACACCACCACACACACACTCTCTCTTCTCCTCTCTCTCTCTCTCTCTCTCTCTCTCTCTCCTCTCTCTCTCTCTCTCTCTCTCTCTCTCTCTCTCTCTCTCTCTCTCTCAAAAAGCAAACCATTCAGCAAATCAATCTCCCACATCTATTATCCTTATCAAAGACAACAATAAACACAGACTCACCAAGGTTTAAGTCACGGACTTCAGATAATCTGTTCTCCAATATCCAGAGGAGCTTTCTCTCGTTGCGATAGCGGGGCTTGATGCGCCCGGTGGCCAGGTCAACAGTGTGCCATAAGCGGTTGTTGGTGGCCACCTTCCGCCAAAGTCTACACACTCTCGATGCTCTGTTGGCGGTTTGAGTGAAAAGGGAATATATTAATACATAATATAAAAATAAATTACTATACTATGTGGCAGCATGAGAACACTCATTCAGAGTTCTTTGACAACTGTCAAGGTACTTGTAAAGGTGGAATGGGGGACTTATCAAAAACACTTTCATTTACAGAATCTGTGCATATAAATTAAATACACATAATACAGAATTAGAAATTATATATTTATGCATTTTCTTCCCCTGGATCCTGTGCTACACTTCAAAATCAGTAGGATTTAAAAAGTGGAATTATATGCCATTTGAAGAAGAAAGAAGAAGAAGAAGAAGGAGAAGAGGAGAAAGAAGAAAAAGATTAAGCCCCTTTTATGGTATTACTTTATCATAAGCCAAAAAAACAAGTTTTCCCGCTATTCCCTTCACAACAATGGTTGACAACCTAATAGCAAAACTATATTTGATGTAGATGCACGGCATGGAGTTTGTAAACAAATCACAGGTGTTTTTTTGAGAAATTCTACCTCTAATCATATAAGAAAATTCTTTTGAAATCAGGAAGGTTCGGGAGTCCTAGATGCTGTGTGTCCTTGTACCAAAGGGTAAAGTGTGATTTCAATACTTGTCTACATGGTTTAAATAATGCCTTGCAACATGTACAAGTAAGGATAATTCCATTTCAGGTTCCTATATAAAAGATATCATCAATCAAATGTAAATGAACAAACTGTGTAAAGCACAATGCAATACTAATCTAGCTTGCTTTATATAGACTAGTTAAAATATACTCAAAGGTTGCTTCCTAAATTACTACATCTTGTGAAGTTGTCTTATCCGCACCTGTATAAATATCACTGGGACCACGTTCAGTATCATCTTAGAAAAACATCAAATATGTAAACTGGTTTCAGTATGCCACTGGAGGTCGATTTCCTTTGGCTATGTTGTACTTGTATCTAGAGTAGGCAATGGCATTCACTGGTTAAAAGTGAAATATACAAGTTGGATTTTTTCACCAAGATTTTCTTTTAATTTTCCCATCTATCTACTACCTTCCCTGTCAATGGATTATCTTAATTTTCATGGACTCCACTCACTTCTACTACATCTGTTATCATATGTGAAACTACTGTCACCCCCAAAATTTAACAGATCTGAAAAAAATATCACTCAATTCCACATCAGACACAATAACAGCATCAGCCAATAGCCTGTTTTCTTTATTATGGTTTCCTGCATTTTTCTTGGATTCAAATTTGGTACAGTGACTTAGCACACTTCAAAGTCGACTTCCAGAAATAACATGTATCAGATAAAATCTATTCATTGATGAGTATTACTTAAAGAAAGAAGTGATTTTGGAAAAGTAACAATAGGACTGGTCATCATCTTTAACCCTCCTGCACATATATGTCCACAGGATCTCTAACTGAAACACACATCTACAAAACTCAATTAAAAAATTCTACTGGATTTCATCCTCAGAACCTTCACTGTGCATGCTGTGGACCCATGCTTCATCATTCACCAAAATTATATCCTTTTACAACTGGGGGGGGACTGAAGAGGCAAAGTGAGTTAGCTAATGTGATACGTATACACTACTCAAATCAATTACTTTTTGATCAGATACCTTTTTCTTTTTCAACTTAATTTTTTTCTTAATGACACTCCCAATAATCATAAAAATATTGTAATTCCTACATCGCCATCATCATCTCATTAGTATCAAATGTGGCAAAAATACTTTGTAAGCAAATTTAATTAAACTTAAACAAGTACACCTTTAACTATGCAAAAAAAAAAAAAAGAGAACAAACACAAAAACAGATATACTATGGCTGTAAAAATGTTGTATCAAAGCTTCCATTTCCCAATGAATAATACCAAACAGATAATATAATATCCAACTTTATGTAATAAGTGAAAATTAATCATTAACCTTTCCACAGCAGGGACATCTTAAGACGTATTGCTGAGAAGGGCCCACGGGCCAGGTAACGTCATAACGACTAAAAATGATTTTTAAATTTTTTCTCACACTTATGACAGGGAAAGTTTGATTATTTTTGGTAAAATACCATAATTATGATAACAAGCCCTTCAAGTGATACCTTATTCACAAAACTGTATGAAAGACTAACCAATAATTTGAATAAAATTACCGTTTAGAAGTTGCACTCTCTAGTGCTGCCAGTGAGTCCCATAACTCAAGCAACACCTTTCTCTCTCTCTCTCTCTCTCTCTCTCTCTCTCTCTCTCTCTCTCTCTCTCTCTCTCTCTCTCTATATATATATATATATATATATATATATATATATATATATAATATATATATGTAATGTATGTATGTATCTTAGCACATGAACACATGCACAAACACAGTAACATGTACAAAAAATTATCATGAAAATGGCCGCAATGAGAATGAAAATAATCATAACGTTTCAAACTCTTTGCGAGTCCCTTTTCAGACAATACCGAAATGGTCTGAAGAGGAACTCGTGAAGAGTTTGAAATGTTACGATTATTTTCAACTCTCATTGCGGCTATTTTCATTTTCATCTAAGTACATCTATATCTGGGTTTCCAAATCAACGGCGCTCTCACCCCCTGGGGGTGTGAGATAGCATTCCAAGGGATGCGAGAAGTGTCCTTTTTGAAGACAAGCAATTAATTGATTTACTACTCACAATCAAGAAACAGGAAGAAAAGAGCCATTTAATTGAAAATACATTTACATAAATGTTTTAAAAGTTAGTTCTTTGATTTTTACATGTAGTTATTTCTAACAACTGATTATTTTTTGCAGGGTTTATTCAAATAATCTGGGACAAGTTTTCTTGTCCATATGTTTGATTTTTGTTAACATATCATTAGAAAATGAAAAAGAATATCCTCTTTTGTTGATCAAATTTAGCCTAAATTTGCCTCCTTTATCCTTAAATAAGCTATAAATTTAAAGGGGGTGCGAGGACACTGTAAAATATTCCTAGGAGTGTGGCCGTAAAAAAGAGTTGGGAACCACTGATCTATATACAAGTGTTTTATGAAAATGAAATACTCATGCAAAGGAAACTGCAATTATAAAACATAATACACGACCACAATTATGTATCATAAGTAGATATCAATATTACAAAAGTAAATATTTATATACAGTGGCAGAAAAGAGGCAGTGATGAGTGAATTTTTTACTCATACATTAGGCAAGGCATTGGCAGTGTTGCCCACACATGATCCCACCCCCCTAAAAAGTGCCCAGCCCATGGGCACTCTCATATATGACATCTAAAACCTTTATTAATACTGTGAAATCTATTACATACATTCATTTAAATGTAACTAGCTGACACTTGCAATAAAACTGGCAAAAACTACTAAAAGTCTGATTTAATGCCTAGAATGAAATCACAAATCCAAAATTAAAGGAAGAGTAAATTTCAACTCTTTAGTAATAACTAATAATATTTCTCTCAGTACGTGCTTATCATGAAAATTGAAAGACAAAAATTTATTGAATAAAAAAAATCATGTGCTGCAATAACAATTATCATAATCAGAAGAAAAAATATATATTTACTGATATTACTACAAGAATTAATACTGCAATAACAATCAGGATAGGAGAATATTATAATAATGATAATGATGAAAATAATAACAACTTCAGATCTTCATAACAATTACATACATAACTATTGTTATCTAGTATGAATAAAGAAGCTGATAATAAAATCATAATACTATAAAAACAAAAAAAGTGGAGCGCCTACAGCATACCAATTTCTACTCATATCCCCTAAATAAATTCAATCCTAAAAAAAGCAAGCCTAACACAAATTGCAAACTGAAAATGAACTTTCTAACAAGAACCTTTTTCCATGATGAATTCAAGGGCTACGAATCCTTAAACTGGATCTTGGAGACGTATGCATCACAGCCAACCCATCCATTAAATTCCTCACAACTCTGTCTGTAACCATTTGTATAATCTTGCTGATAATCAAAACCTTCATCATACCTGTGTCTCATTATCTCTCAAAGCAATCACGTTCAATGAATGAAAACTAACACACAGGTAAATGTTTTTCGAGTGAATGCCATTCCTCATACTATCCCCCCTCCCATCATCCATCCACTCGGGTTGTTGGACCGAAGTTGTCTTGTGGATACAAATGAACTTCTACTGTACTGGTCAATGAACATAATGTAAAGTAAACTAAAGTAATCTTAAATAGAGAAAAGAAGGAAAAGAAAATAAAGAATAGAAACTAAAGTAGAGAAAAGGGAAGAGAAGTAAAGTGAAGAGAAGAGAAAGAGAAGGAAGAAGAAGAGAAGAAAAAAAAGAAGAAAGAGGAGAGAGAGAGAAAAGAGAGAGAGGTAAGAGAAAAACAATGCAAAAAGAAGAAGAGAAGAGAAAAGAGAAAGAAAGGAAAGAAAAGAAAAAGGGTAGTTACCAAAGGTCTTTGTACATAAATTCTAAATCCCTTTGTTTCTCACATCATACTGCAAATTACAAAGAAAAAGCAAGCAAAGTTTAAACCTTGACATTCACCACTGAATCCAAAACGTATTTGTGCAAATGCCTCCATACTGATATGCTGCAGATCTATCCTGCAAGTACAACTGCGAGCATTTTTCAGTCTACTGCTTCCCACCACTATTATGATCTCCTTTGTTCTCACTAACTGAATAGTGACACAGGGGTGATACACTTCACTTATCTAATAGTGACGAGGAAGGTAAAGGACAGAGAAAAAAAGAGTAAGAGGTGGAGAGAGTAAATAGAGGAAGGGAAAAAGTGCACACAGTGAGGGGGGGGGGGGAAGAGGAAGAAAAATGGAGACAGTAGAAAAAGACAAAAAGAAGCTTAAAAAAAAAGGGGGGGGCACACTGACAGAAAAAAATGAAAAAAAAAAAAAAAGATAAAAGAAAGAAAAAGACAAAGAAAGAAGGTGGAAAAGAAGAGAAGAAAGAGAGAGAGAGAGAGGGGGGGGGAGGAGTGGCAGTGGGGACAGGGGGCTGGTTAGAGGGTATAATAAAACATTGGGCTAGGTGCTAGGTACACCTGGTGCCCCCCTCCCTCCCTTCTTTCCTTCTTTCCTCTCTCTCTCTCTCTCTCTCTCTCTCTCTCTCTCTTCTCTCTCTCTCATCTCTCTCTCTCTCTCTCTCTCTCTCTCTCTCCTTCTCTCTCTCTTTCTCTCTCTTCTCTCCTCTCTTTCTCTCTCTCTTTCTCTCTCTCTCTCCCTCTCTCTCTCTCTCTCTCTCCCTCTCTCTCTCTCTCTCTCCTCTCTCTCCTCCCCCTCCCCTCTCCCTCTCTCTTAAATATAATCTTTCCCCTCCCCTAAAAAATCAGCAACTTCCTGGAATAAGAAAAAGATTTATGGCTCTTTGAAATGAAATCCTTCAGCATGCTTCAGTTTTCTGAAGTAACTGATACTGCATATGACATATTACCACTGATAAGTAAAGTGTTGCAGCTGTTCTAACCAGATGCCCACAATCCCTCACCTGGGAAATCAATATCCTTGCACACTCAAAAACTAAAATGCCAGACTTGTAAACTATAATGTAAATGAAAATCAAATTGTCATAGTGCAAATGTAGTGTTATATAAGCAGCCTGAACTTCATTTCTCCCTCATACAAAACATAACTGCTTCTTAAACAATTTTTTTCTTTTTTTCCATTACTATACAACTACTACTACTTCTTCTTTTAAATAATTTCAAAATGACTTTTATTCCTTGCCTAACAACTTTTCAGCAATTTTCATTGACTAAAATAAACTGTTAACTACTCCTACAATATTCAATTGATAAATCACTTTCTACACACGTGAAGTCAAGCTGATTTTCTTGGGGTTACTATATT